CTATATTGCAAAAAAAAAAAACTTTAAATGGCGCCGCTGCTCGAATGAATTTTTCAATGTCTGCATTTTTTTGCGTAACAGCTGGTGTTCCTTGCAAATATTTACTTGTCTGCAATGATAACTTTAATTTTTACAATTAATCAAATATTTATAAATCAATTAATGAAGATAGTCACTGTGATTTCGTAACGTAGCAATTCAAGAAACCGTTAGCCTTATAAGACTGTAGAAAAAACTTATATTTTTTTAAACTTATATTATGAATAGTTTAAGAATGCTGTGTATTTTACTAATTTTTCCAAGCTAAACAGGATCATCATATGAATCCTTAATGAAATACAACTCGCTAATGTAAATGGCAATTAATCTAACAAAAGAGTAACTATACAAATGAATCGAGGAGAACATACTTCATATATAACTGTTCCAAGAATCTTTGACCGTTGATCTTTTGGAAGTTCATTTTGTTGCTTGCGTCTATTCTGCAACAATCGCAATACTTCAGCATTTGTGATTACTGTATGTCGTGAATCGAGAACTTCCATATTATGGACAAGAGAGGCACATTATACACAAATAAAACTGAATTTATGATACGCTAGAAATAGTACACCTGAAAAGAAAAGGCAAACAACTAATTATCAATCTTGACAACATGCAGTCAGTTCAATAATAAAAAATATTCCAAAAATTTTACACTGCGCTGTTAAGTACAGTGGCATGTAATTTTTGTTGGTTTCAGTAGCATTCATAATTTATTAACTTTATATAAATAACCACAATTTAACAACAGTTAAATATAAGGTGGAAACCGTCTTAACTATGTATTTATGCAGTGAATAACGATGAAATGCAACATTTGAAAGATAAGACATGATCACTGCGACAAAACATCAAATATGACATTTAAAAATATTCACCAAAAATTATTTCAATACAAAAAACGATTTATAAAGAAAATTTTCATGATTTTGAAAAATGTCCAAAAATACAACTGTTACTGCTCCCACTTGATGTCAACCCTTCAAATAGATAAGAGATTGTAAAATTATTATCTATTTGAAGCATGAATTACGGTCTCTGCTCTTGATTTCTGCAACACTATCTGATATCATATTAACACCTTTTAGTAATTAGCAACAGATAGACTATAAGTTTATTGCAGCAAAGAAAGCTAAAGGAAGAAAAAGATAACAGGCATATTAAGCAATGATTGATAAAGCAGATTTCCAATAAAAGAAAACTGAATTGAAAATACTGTCATTGGAGATTCAATACATTGTACAAATATAAAGCCAACAATAATTCTCTATTCATACAAGGTCAAATTTATGAAATCTCTTACCTTTAAGTGAATTTCAACTTTAAATTGATCATTAATATCAGAGCGCGACAAAGAGAAAAGAAAATAAAGAATTCATACACCTAAAAGTAAATTAATTCATGGAACCAACCGAAGTGATACAAATTTTGAAGTGTTTCGAAGACTCCCGCTACTGATTTTCAGATGTGTAAAGAGATCAAAATTTTCAAGCAAACCGAATAAATCGATTCTTAAACAATATGACACAGCTCTGAAATAATGCATACAAAATTCTGCACCAACTTCGCTTGAATGGATTTAAACAGGTATTCAACTTACTCTATCAGAGCAATATTTAGCTTGGCAGCTTGATATATTTATAATGCTTAATTGTCTTGGAAATGTAAATTCAAAATAACATACAACTAACATTATTCAACATACCTGAAAATTTGAATAAGTATAAATCGGCAAAGAAAAGATCATGAAACATCTTAAAACTCAAGCAATCAGTTTTAATACGGTATATCTATCACTGAGCTACTTTATAGAGATGATAATAACGACATTTATATTAAATAACTCCGTAATAATTGAGGTTATGCAAACCAACTTCATTACACACTATCATTGCAGAGTAAAGGCAAATAAAGAAGTGACAAAGTAATATAGCAGAAAAAAATATAAAATAAAGTAGGATGGCTTCCACCACATTTTGCACAGTTATGAATCATCCACTTTGACAATCATTTTGCCAATATTGCAACCATTCAAAAGATCTACGACTGCTTCCGGTGCTCGTTCCAAACCTTCATATATCGTTTCTCTACTCTGCAACAAATTCATCCTATTAATGAAAATAAAAATAATAATTACCATGAACCTGCCCGAAAAATATCCAGTCGTAAATAATAACAAAACTAACTTCCAATATGGGAAGAAAGTCCAAAAAATTTGGCAGCATCAATTAAAGCGCGAGAAAGATGCTGAGGAAAGGTACAAAATTGTAGAAAGATATTGGTGTGTGCTAAATTCCAGTAAATAATTGCTCCTAGCAGATATAAAAACTATATACAAAAATAGCATATAAAAATTGTAAACCTGAGAAATATATTCATTTCCCCTTTTCTATTATACAATAAAAAATCACATACCTTTAGTTTTTTCTCCTGTAACCACGCTGAAAGCTGTGCCACAGATGTGTCGATATCATCTTTATATTGCAGTACAATGAACTTCTCTCTGTAAAAATCCTTCAAAATTATAAAAATTGATCCAGTCAACAAAAAAAAAAATTTTTTTTTTGAAATTTCCTAAATCATCCACAATAACTTTAGTACCTTTTAATTTTCTTTTCCGCAATAATCTGAGCAGTTTTCTCCGGAAGAGGTGGTGGATTCGGCAAGTCCGTGTTATACACAGCTATTTGTCCACATAAAACAATACGACCACCTTCGTTCATCTTCAACAGAAAAAGATGTTAAAAATGAGTATTGCTACGAACAGTTGAAAATGATGGCAGAAAAATTACAGGTAAAGCGTTTGAAACAGAAAGCATTAATTTAATTTCTCTGTTAAAATTCTTTTCCCTCTAGCAAACGTTGTTCATTCTCATAATCCTCTTACTGTTCTCTTGATATATATAAAGTTTAGTTCAAAATTACTTTTCTTAGACTAAAGATGAAAGCTTTTCTTCTTTCAAGCAATTATAAAATAATTATTGAATATTTTCTACTTTGTACATCTTGCACATTCGGCACATAGAGTACGAGTTCATCACTAGCCAATGCACTGATGATGACGAAAGATATCTTAGGTATTGGCATCTTCCATAGAAAACAACATAGGACAGTCTACTTATTTTTTAAATTAAAAATATCATCAGCTTAGTATCATGTAATCACTGCCGCAAAATGACCATAAACCAAATGCCAAAAGAGGCGTAGCATATCGAATGTCAACATTTAAAACAAACGTGACTCATTCTTTTAAGGTTATAAATAACCTTTAAATTCATGAAAAAGACTTAGAATCAAGTACATTATAAAATGATTGAAACAAAAATGAAATTTAAGACACTATGAAGAAAAAGTAGCATCTATATATTTATAACTTACCAGTGATATCACAGCATCACTCACGAAGCCTCCAACATTATCAAAGTATATGTCAACACCTTCCGGAGCAAGTTTACGTAAACGATCAGCAACAGATTCCAGCTTATAATTTATCGCACCATTGAAATCCCATTCATTCAACAAAACAGTACATTTCTGATATGAACCACAAATGCCAATCACTTTCGTACAACCATATAAGCGTGCAATCTGTAAAAGCATTTCATTTAGTTTAAAGCTTTTGTTATTAAAAAACGATGTAAAAAAAGTAATGAAATACTAAATCATACAATATAAAAAAATCATACAATATAAATGAAAATCCTGATGAAACAGTTTAATCAATTAATGAATCAAGAGAGTATTAAAGAATAGACCAAAATTCATTGCAAAGCATTCCGTCCTAATAGCACATCTTTCACCATATGGAAATAGCCGAGTATCAACCTTTCAAAGATGCACATCATGCCATCAACTAATCAGCTGTTTCAGTCTATCTTTCTGGGTAAACTGTCAATAAAACAAACATTGGAGATTTACCAGGAAAAAAAAAGAACTAAATAAAACGATAAACCTGTCCAGCCAATGATCCGCATGAGCCAGCTGCTCCAGAAACGACAAATGTTTGCGGTCGCGTCGGATCAATTTCTGCTTTTTTTTGAATACCAAGAAGAGCTGTCAGACCAGACAAACCCACACAGCTTAGTATGACTGACGGAGAAAAGCCAGGTGGTAAAGTGACCTAGAAATTTCCTAGCTACTATGAGTCATAGTAAATTTAGTTCAGTATAAAGGACTCAGATTACCGTACTCCTCTTTTCCCACTTCGACCTCTCCGTAATTGCTCAAACATATAGTGGTTATCAGATTTTACCGAAAATTTGTTGAATATTTTCGACAAAGACTATACTGCACTATCAGAACAAATAATACGCAGCAAAACAAACAGTGTTTGATAATCAAAAATTATTTATTTTATCCAGATACTACAAAAGTGTTTAACAAGTAATTTAAAAGACACCTAAATTACAACGATACAAAATTTTCAATTTCAGAATTTTAAATCAATTCCGAAATTTTGAAGGATATATTTTAGTCGCTTACCCTTACAAGATCAACTTGATCAGCAACAAATAATCTACTCCATGGCCATAGCCGTCCAATACTTGTTACCAAATCTCCAACTTTGAAAGCACCGCTAAAATTATCATGATAAGAAAAAAAATTATGATATGTTCCGACACACATTGTAATACCTTTAAAATAAATGAATTTTAATGTCATTTAGAATATCATAACTACCTCATGATTAAGTTATTTTCCAATGAAATAAGGTTTTCTAAATAGTTTAAAGGACGAGTAAAACTTAGAATATGCATCGCTGATCAATCGAGAGTTAAACAGTTTCTACAATTTAACTGAAAAAATATGCAAAAACCTACTTTGGCGATACCATTTCGATAATTCCAATTCCTTCCAGGCCGTCAACTAATTCACCTATTTCATATGGTGCTAAATAATCAACTCCCGTTGATTTGTTCATACGGCACCGCTAGAAATTGAACAGAAGTGAAAACAATAACTTAATAGAAAAAGAAGATTTTGAAATTCAATGGACAATTCAAAATATATATCGTAGTAGCATCTTTATGTAAAATATTATAAAATTCAGGTTCACATATGAGTTACTACAGGCTTGGTCCTATAACAAACTTTGTAAACTATATTAGGTTGATTTTTAGCGTAACTCTGATAAATATTTCTTGCAATATCAATAATTACACTTAAAACTTGAAACTATTTAATAAACCTGTGCTGGATCCACTGAGAGGTACAATGTTCGCACAATACATTGCCCATTTCTGACATCTAATCGATTTGGCGCGAGACAATCTTCACATCGAAAGCAATCCGCAGACGGAAAATTATTTGCTCCTGGAAGACAACAAAGAAATGGAAAGTCTTCTCAAAATAGTTTCCACAAAAAAACAATGTGGATGACCAACACTTAAGTTGTTGTTACTTATCTTCCTGGTAAGTTAAGTTACCATTCTATTCTCCTCTTGATCAGTGATAAATCAACAAATGCGATATTTTACTATTTACTACAGGAAAATCAACCTGG